TGATTATTTATTAGATGCTCACTCAGTTTCACTTGCTGGATTAAAAAATCTAAAGCTAGCCAGGTTCTTGATTGGAATATCAGTTTCCTCCTTCAGCGAGCATCCAAACTCCTTATGTCCTGATGAACTTTTGAGGCCTTTGCTTCCCTCTGTGTATGTGAGGACAGCCAGATGCTTCCACATGGCTCGAAAGAGTAGCTTAGACACCACGTGCTTGGCCATTGGTCAGAATCAATACAATTGTGATGGTAGCCGTTTATGCTTGTTCCACGCCTCTGGTGCCTTGGGCCTGGTGTTAAGTGCTCTGCTTGAATTATTTCATTGATTCTTCTTTACATGAAGGAAACGTGGATGGTTTTATCACCACAACCCTCGTTTTGTGAATGAGAGGAGGGCGTCAGGTATCTGGGATTATTTTGCCCAAGGTCAGGTAATGGGGATTAAGCCCAGAGTAGTCTACGCAGAGAGCATGTCCCACACAGCAGTGTGCTGACCACTGTCTGCTCAAAGGCTCACAGACAGCTCTGTGGGTTGCACACATAGGAGCCGCTGAGCTGGGGAGCTGCTTGAAAATCTAGTTTTCCTGCGTTGTAATCCATGGAGATTGTGACTCAGTCAGCATTTCATAGATTTGAGCATTCACTCCCGGTAGGGCTTATGAAAGTGTCCACTGCAGCTGCCTACCGCCAAAGGTGCTGGTTCAGTAGGACTGAGGTAGAATCTGTGAGTTCACACTTTTAACAAGCTTTCAGGCAAAGCTGGTGCCCTTTCTCTCAGGAGTGCTCTCTGAGAAGCGTTGGGCCAGGGCAGTGGATCCCAGCCCTGGCTGCAGGCTGGCATCTGGGCAGCACTGCAGACATCGCACGTCCAGGCTTTGTCCCAACCAACCTGACCAGCATCTCTCAGAGTGTGGTCTCAGAGTGTGGGCATTCCTGTTTTCAAGGTGATTCTAACATTTTCATTTTGTTGTAATTTATAAAAACAACAACACAAGAACCAAATGACTTCCATTTCAACCATTCACACACACACACACACACACACACACACACACACACACACACACACACACACTCTCTCTCTCTGTAGTAATGTTGATGACAGTGTCCATAGTTTGCTGCCATCCCCACCACTTCCAGATGTTTCCATCATCCTATTACAAACTTAGATCCCTAAATTTAAATGGCTTTCATGGGAAGCACAGATCTAGAGAATTCTGCATTTGCATTCCCTCTCCTTTTCACCTTGGAGGTGAGGATGTGAAACTTTGTCTTATCTACTTTGAGCATGTCATCATATCAGAAGGGGTTGTTCCCCAGGGACAATGTCATGCTTTATAAAATAGAGGGTTAGTGAGATGGGAAGATCCTCAGTGAGGTGGCTGGTGGGCTCACCGGCTGCAGCAGTGCGCGTCAGCACAGTGGAGCCAGGAGGAAGGTGGCAGGACCTGGCAGTGTTTTGTTTGATTGCTCTGAGTCAGAAGTGATTTGATGGTGTCGTAGCGGGAAGAAGCTGCGCTGCAACCCCGAAGGCACGAGGTTCAAATCCAACCATCTGCTCTGTGGGAGAAGGATGGGCTTTCCTCTCCTGGACAGTTAACTGCCTCTGAAAGCCTGTTGAAGTGTCAGCTGTGGTTCCAGGGGTTGGCTGTGGGTCAGAGCGTCGTCTTTGGGTCAGCTCCAACTCTACAGTACTCAATGACAAACAAAAACCACAATAGACTATAGCAGGGTTCAGATTCAAGGTTCATAGAGTACCTGTGTGTCATGGTGAACTTGACAGCATCTAACAACACAAGAGCAACCGCCTGAGGAGGGTGACTAATTTGATGCCCTCATCTTATTAGAGAACAGTCAATGGGAAGCCTGTTTTTTGGCTTGTCCATGTTAGGGACCTCTCTAAAGTACTCAAGAGCAACGGTGTCTCTCTGGAGACTAAAGTCTGCCTGATACAGGCCATGGTTTTTACAATCACTTGTTATGCATCAGAGAGTTGGACAATGACTAGGGAGGATAGAAGGAGAATTGACGCCTTTGAGCTGTGGTGCTGGAGAAGAGTACTGAATGTACCATGGACTGCCAAGAAAACAAACAGATCCATCCTGGAGAGGGTTAAACCAGGCTACTCCTTGGAGTCAAGGATTCTGGGGCTTCGTCTGACATACTTTGAACATGTTGTAAGGAGGGACCGGTCCTTGGAGAGGGATATCATGCTTGGTAGGGTAGGGTAGAGGGACGGCGCAGAAGGGGAAGACCCTCTATGAGGTGGATTGATTCAGTGACTGGGGTACTCAGGATAGGGCTGTTGTACATAGGGTCGCTGTGAGTCGCAAACAACTCGACAGCACATAACAACAACAATTTGGTTTAACTATTAAGTTTTACAGGATGCCTTGTGTGTGTTCAGTTCTTGGAGGTGGTATGTGCTGCAGCGTTAGAACTGACATAACTGACTCTTCATCAAGTCTTCAAAGTAAATAGCTCAAGAGGGAATTGCTCGCTTTTCTCTCTTGGAGTTGCTGGTGGAGTCGAACCGCATGCCTTTGGGTCGGAAGGGCAGCTCCTTTCTGTTAAGCCACCAGAGATCCGCTGTTCAGTTGGTGGTGGTGGTTGTGTACCATTGAGTGAGAACCGCCCCACAGCTGACCCTCTACTAGGTTTTCAGAGGCAGTTAATCGCATGGGAGGAGATGGCCCATCCTCATCCCACAGAGCAGCTGGTGGATTCGCACCGTATGCCTTTGGGATTGCAGCGCAGCTTCTTGCCACTAGGCCACCAGAGCTCCTTTGTTCAATTGATAGAAGTCTCGGTTTTGAAGACAGTTGATCAGCAGGTAGTCCTGGTAACCACTAGCCTCTGAGTTGGTGTCGGTGAGAGAAGTTGGGAGTGGGTTTGATAGTCACCTGGAAGCTACAAGGGCCCAGTCTAGGGGGGCTCAGACTTACAACATACCAAATGTGCCACTGCAGATCCTTATTCAGCAGGTCCCGGGCGGGGGGGCTGAGAATATGCATTTCTGACAAGCTCCCCAAATATGCTAGAGTTGCTGGTCTCCAGAGCACCCTTGTCTAGTCTGTCTAGAAGAAAGCGCTGAGGGGCAAAGACATGAGTTAGTATGTCTAAGGTCACACAGTCTGGTGCACACAGGGCCAAGACTAGCTCAGCCTCGTTTCTGTCTTTCCTGGTATAGTTTACAGTCTTGTCAAAGCCTGTAGTAGTTGTGTTGCATTGGTCAGATAAAGCAAACCAATCTAGTTTTACTGATTTTACTTATCACTTTAAAACCTAGCTGTTTTATTGACATCACTGTCTTTGTGTGAGATGAGACATCTGTATCTGCTTATTCTCCATCACCAGAAGGTGCTTGGGCACCTTCCCGCGCATTTGCAGAGGGCTGTCAATGCGTGAGAGAAGCCTGGTGGTTCTTAGCTTGAACAAAATCACTTGGTTCTTCTTGTTAGTCATCTGTGTGCCCCCTTTGACCACAGCAAGTGGGCACAGAGGCCTGATGTGTAGTTGTTGTTGTGTGCTGTTGAGTCAGAACCGACGCATAGCTCGCCCTCCAGAGAGGCAGTAAATCTCAAGGGAGGAGGTTGCCCATGGTTTTCCTGTAGAGCAGCTGGTGGGTTTGAACTGCGTGCCTTTGGAGTTGCAGCACAGCTTTTTACCACTCGGCCACCCTGATGTATGGTAATTAGTAAATTTACCTGTAAGTTCCAGTTTTTACTGTTTACTCTTTATAAAACCCTGGGAGTCCTGGGCCTGTTGAGCTAAGTGCAGACCTCAACAGCATCAGCACGTAATTTGTTTCTGGAGCTTGATTGGTTGCATGGTAACAAATCCTAATCAAACAGAGAAGGTGACTTGTTTGGGGTTTTTGTTTTGTTTTGTTTTAAATGATTTACCTTGGAATCTATATACACTCTTAAGATAAACAATGCTACCAGACTGTTTTTCCTACAAGTTCCTTAAAAACCATTGTGTGGTTTGCAGTATGTTGAATATTTAGTTATAAAGCTTATGTGAGCACATGTGTCAAGTTTTTGTTTTATTTTTTGTTTTTTACAAATCGGATGTAGCATTACATGGATTCTGTGTCCGATGGCCTTAGCAGGAAGGTTGCTCAGAAAGATAAGGAACACTTCATGAATTTGCATGTCACCCTCACGCAGGGGCCATGCCCATCTTCTCTGTATCGTTCCAGTTTTAGTATACGTGCTGCGAAAGTGAGCACAACATGTCCAGTTTTTTAAAATTTTTTCAAATTTTTATTGTATTATTTTTATGTGTACCATCAAATCAGATCTGACTGGTACAGGAGGCGATTGCCTCCTCCTTCTCCAGCAGAGCATATGGTGGATTTGAACTGCGTACTTCTGGGATTGCAGTGCAGCGTCTTGTCACTAGGCCACCAGAGCTCCCCACGTGTCCAGTTTTAAAGTAGGTGTATGCACTACCTAGTTCACCGTCCATAGCATATACTATAAAAATAATCATTGGCATCAAGCCTTTGTAGACTGTGAAGCGTCTTGTTAAGCCCAGGTTTCACTGGAGAAGCACTTGGTTATTCCAGGCTGCTACACGGCGAGGTCTTTCCTAGACATCGACATGCCGGCTCTTCCTTAGTCGTGGGTCTGGATGAGATAGGATGACTTGTACGTGCTTCTTCAGCCTGGGCACTACTTGACACTTTATCCTAATTCTTTGTTCTGAGGGACTGACTGTCCAGTGCATTGTAGGATATTTACAGCCTTCTTGGTGCCTACCTTCTAGATGTTGCTAGCACCCAATCAAAAATGTCTCTGGAAATCGCCAAGTGTGCCCTAGGGATCATAATAACCCCTCGTTGAAAGTTGGTGGCTTAGTCGAGGCCAGTCCTTGGAAAAGGACATCATGGTGGCAAAGGTGGAGGGTTAGCCTTTGCTGGACCCTTAGTGAGGTGGATTGACACAGTGACTTATTCACGGTTTGAGTATTTTTAAGACGGTGAGGATGGCACAGAGTAGGACAGTGTTCAGATCTGTTAATTCGTAGGTTTGCTGGGAGTCACTGTCGACTTGAAGGCACCCAACAACAACAGTCTGATTAAAGTTTTTGTTGTACTGTTGGTGCTGTAGTGACTTGTTAGTTGCCATCAAGCCAGTTCCAGTTCATAGTGGTCACCCCATGTCTGTAGAGTAGAACAGCTGCATTGGGTTGTCACAGCTGTGACCTTTTGGAAGCTTCTGGTTTGGTTCCAAGCCACTAACCTTTCAGCTCATAGTGGAGCGCTTAATTGTGCCCTACACCATGACCTTTGCATTTTTAAAGGAAGAGATGCGCGTGGAGGTAGGTAGTTTATGCTTCTAGAGTGGCATGAACTTGGTTTTGAGTCCCAGTTGTGGTAAGACTTGGTTTCTAAATCTGTAAAATGGGCATAATGACAGATGTGGGTTGTTGGGTTAATTCCTAGTGCCCTGTGGGGCTGAGTAGAGATACTGGGCTGTAATCTATATGAGAGAAAATAAACAGGTCTTTGCCCCCATGAGGCTACTTCTCAGCTGAGCACTTAACATTGCACCACCAGAGCCCCTTACAATGGCACTTTTACTTTGAAAAGTTTTTGAAGGAGACAGTTTTTATGAGATGGTCGTGCATTGGCTTGTAAAAATGCTCCTGTTATTTTTGAGTTCTCGTTGGTAGGTATAGCGATGCCTTTTCCTGACACGCCTTGTGCATTTCTTCTTCCCTGTCAGAAACATCACACATGATAAATTTGATAACCTGGACCATCTTTGCTGAGTAACAAAGATTTATGACTCCTGTGGGCTGCTGTTTGCATCTCTCTTGTAGCATTTAAAAATTCTGCCTAGTCCTTCCTTGCACAGGAGACTAGAACAGACACTCTTTGGAAGGGCTGTGAGTCTGTCTTCACCTCTGCGTCCTCTGTAGTCCCGCGCAGTCATGCCTGGCACATAGTTGGTGCGCAGTCACAGGGAATCCGCGTATTTAAACACTCGCTGTGGCATGAGTGAGATTCAGGTGCACGTGAATTGCCAGTGAAGAATGTCTTTTCAGTTTTCTAATAACTGCCCCTTTGTTACCATGAGGCATTTTTTTTTTTAAATTACATTCATTCAACTAAATTAAGATGGACTCAGCGCCTTGGTGACTTGACATGCTTTCCCAGGTATCTTCAATTTGGTCATCAGCCTAGACTCCAGCTTGTCTTCAGCCTGTCGCTTTGCATGGTGCACCTGCAGTGGGCATCCATGATTGAACTGTTTATGTGTGTCTGATTGTCTTTTATACCAAGTGCTTGAAGGTTAGTTGGCTTTTAAAAACAACTTAATTAACTTTTTACTTCTTTTTGTTTTAAATGAGATATAAACTCCTAAGTTTATAAAATTTCCCTAGACTGACAATTGCCATTCATTCCTTTAGAGATACTTTAAAAATAAGAAAAAGAAAAAAAAACACCCCAAAACAAAAAAAACAAGTGTTTTCTTTTTCACTGGATGGGTGAGCCTGTGCAAATCCATTCCTTTCTATTCCCAAAGCCTGTGCCTCCCTGAATTTCAGGTTGCAGCGAAGTACCAGAATAAATAGCTTTGGTTGGAAATCGGAAATTGGATGTGTTATGTGGTAGCAGCCCCGTCCTAGGTCGACTAGAAGATTCTTTTCACTGGAGCTCTGGTGAAGGCTGCTCCGTGGGGAAGACAGCCTTGTGTCAATAGTTTTTAAGTTGATTCAGTAAGCATTGTTGATGATTGAAATTGAAGAATTGTGAACACAATTCATCTTGAGGAACAGAGAACACGGGGTGTGAGCCAGGCTGCTGGGGACAGACATTGACATACGGGCCGTCATCAAACTAATTGTTGTTTGAATTACCTGTTATGATCCGATGACAAATCTGCCTTGCTCCTGCCACTGGAGCAGAAAATGTAGCTTGAATTGGCGTGATGTTAGCAAGTGTAAACTGTACTTCAACAAGATGGATAAACCCAATTATGGGGCAGACCTGTAGAGAGAAAATCCATTTAAATCTCGTAATGTTAAGCAGAGCTGTGTTTAATTCATTTGGACCAATTTGGGAATGATGTATGAGTGTGGGTGAACATTAGTCAAAGGGGGGACCACTTGGGGGAATAGGATGCACCGATGCTGCAGGCCACTCCGGGAGGCAGCTGGGCCCGGCGTGGCAGCAGCCTGTGCTAATGGCAGGGAAAGGCAGAAATGACAAAACGATGCACTGACTGCCGTGGGGGAGCCGCGCTCTGTAATTGAACCAATAAGGGAGACATATGAAGCAGAAAGGAGAGGAGGGGTTTTTCCTAAATGCTATTGACAGTCCAAAATAGAAAGGAAATTTGAGGTTCCGTGTCTGTATTCCCAGCCCCGACATCCTTATGGGCTTTCCCAGGCGTTACAACAGGGGATCTGGCAAAAACTCCTGCTGGAAAGCTTACTAGTGATTTTTTAAAAACGGGGAGAGAGAGAGAGATAGAGAGAGATAAGGAGACACTCGAAGAGATGGAGAGAGACGGAGAGAGGCTGAGAGAGGGAGGAGAGGGAGGGAAGGAGAGAATGTAATTGTATATCTGGCTATGAGTAAGACTTTAAAAACTGAGGATGGAAATGTGTTACTCTCTCTCTATATATATTTTTTAAAATGTTTTAAAATTTTTTTTGTCAAGTAATAAAGGGAGAGGCAGGCAGGCTATGTTTTATTCTGTTGCCTTCTGGATAGCAGTTTAGATAGGGTTATTGTTTGGAAATCGATGGCTTCAGGTGTATTTGGAAAAGGGGAGCTCTGGTGGCTTAGTCTATAGGAAGCTGTGCAGCTGAACTAAAAATGGCACCTGTCTGTTGGTGCAAATCCTCCAGCAGGTCCTCAGGAGAAAGATGGGCGGTCTCTTCCCCTGTAGTTTACAGCCTCAGAAACCTGCTGGCGGCCTGCTACGAATCCATCTAACTAGATGGCAGTGAGTTCTTTTGATATTTGCAAGAGTTTCTTGGAAAGTCTTGCCTATTTAATTTTGTGTGTGTGTGTGTGTGTGTGTACTATCAAATCGGATCTGACTGGTACGGGAGGAAATTGCCCCTCCTTCTCCAGCAGAGCATCTGGTGGATTCGAACCGCATACCTCTGCGATTGCAGTGCAGCTTCTTGCCACTAGGCCACTAGAGCCCCAAGTCTTGCCTAGTACCAATGAGGGAGTTTTTCTTTTGCTTTTCAAGGAGAGGAGCAAATAGGGGGGGGAGGGGAGGGGGGGTGTGCGGGGAGAAGGGTGTAACAATGAATGAATGGAATTCCAAAATCTCTGTAGATATTCATTGAAATGAAAAATAAATAAATTAATTTAAAATAAAAAAAAGTTGCCCCCCCCCCAAAAAAAATTTCTTGTGTTTCCCTTTTGTTCTGGAAAGGGCTGGGGAGGTGTTCTGCCCGCACCAGTTGCCACTGTCAACTCTTCATGCCTAACAACCCCTGTGTACCAGCGGAACTGCGCTCCATGGGATGCTAATGGTTAATTTTTTTGCAAATTGATTGCCAGGCCTTTCTAGATAACTTCTGAGTATACTTGAACCCTTAAGCTGCGAACCTCCAGGGAGTTGTTGGGTTGTAATTGTTTAGTGTCTCCCTTTTGCTTTAAGGATTTTTGTCTCTATCAGCTGCCTTTCTTTTTTGTGGACTGGACTAGAGTTGGAAACTTCCCTTGTTGAAAGGAGACTAGAAAAGGTTATGGATGCCTTTGGGGCTTGGCACTGGGCCTCCAGGAATTCAAGGCTGTGCTCTCTTGCCCTGGAGCTCATAAATCTGAGAATACTGGATAGAAATGAATGTTAAAGCCCTAAGATTTCCCCCCCACCCACCCCAATAATTGGGGTATAGTTCATTGTATGAGGGTCACATTGAACATTTAGGACCCACCCTTGGGAAATCGTTTCTCCCAGAGATACATTTGGTGGGAGATTGTACTTACTTGTTTTCTCCAAGTACCAACTCAGTTAAGGCACAAATCTGAGAACTTTAAGGGAAGGGGAAGGAAAGAAAGAAAAGGAATAAGACCTTGTAGTATTGTTTCAAGAGTTTGAATGCTGATGATCTGAATATCCTAAAGGAGGTGCTGGTAGAACCAACATGTTCTTTCAGAGAGAAATTCGATACCTTAGTTCTCTCGGCCTCTTCCCCACCCCAGTGCATTTAGGCCCCCAGTGTGATCTGCCCAATGATAGGCCTCCAGGTCATTTAAGGAAAAGTAAGCGAGGTAATGAATGAACTTGGAAGAAGCATATTGAGACGTGCTTCTGAGACTGAGGACCTTTGTCCTGGAAGCTGTAGCATCCCTCACATTCTGTGAGTTTTATGGGGGACTGTGTCTGGTTTGGTCCCAAAGCAGTGTCAGATTTATATTCCTGAAGGGTGGGGTGTAGACAATGTGGACTGGAGAGGCCATGAATAAGGGAATTCACTCCAGCAGGAGAACAGACTTGAATGGAAAAGAAAGCATCCACTTGGTGGGTTAGAAGGGCTGTGTGTGTTTGAGGGCAAGGCTCTTCTGAGCCCTGTGGGGCTGTTTACCTGGTGTTACAGCAAAGCTGAAAGCTTGCACGGATGTCCTGGTCCCTTTGATCAGATTGAAAGATCTAATATGTAGCAAAAGACAGATACTCAATCATTGACCACATATATCGCATTAATCACCTATCAGAAATTAAATTTTCAGTGAGGCATTATCAGTTCTTTAGCTTAACAGTTATTTTCTGTAGGGTGGTTGTTTTTTTTTTTTTTTAATGGTTCCTTATGATATCAGGTTCTAGATGAAGGTTTTATAGGTATATAGGATGAATCCGACTCCGTTCAGGAGTGACTCTGGAGACACCTCACTCCCTACTTGAGTTTTATCATTACAGTCAAAATACACCTCCCCTGCTCCTCACTGGTCCTAATCTTCAGTCACCCAGCTTTCATTCTGGGATCCAGCAGCAGTTATTTCTTAATAATTCTTGAAAAAGCCAGGCGGT